ATTTTCTGCTAAACATTTCATGAGCACATAATTGTCTTACAGACTTACAAGGAATGGTGACATCTACGTATATGTATGGGCGTGCAGTGACCAAATCAGGGTTATATTCACTAATCTCTTTGGTGGCATTTCAGTGACATGGCCTTTATAATACGGAGAACAGATACTTTTTTTTTGCTGTGGCACTTACAAAAGTCCTTAGGATATATCAAATGTATCATATGTGGATTTACCCCCTCCACCATTTTCCTTTACCTCCCCTCCCATTCCTGGAACAATTTCAACTGTTCTCATTTTTCCATTTACACACGTGGACACAGTATTTGGGCAATTTTCACCTTCCTACATCCTTTCCCCACCTGCCCCCCACACACTGGTCCCAACCTCCCCAGGCAGGATTATCACCCGTTAAGTATGGTTTTAAGAGGTGAATGTGTTAGGGGGTGTCTGTCTTGTGCTGCTGTAATAGGACCATGGATGAAGCCCTGGGTTGGATCTCCAGCACAGCAAAAAATGAGCAAATGAAACCTACAGTGTGAATGGTTTTAAATTTGTAAAGGCAATCTCACATAGGGCTCTTAGTCCTGACTGGACACGGACATTGGAGTGTCTCTTTGCATTGATTTTTTTTAAACCAGTATGTTAAATCTCACATGATATATAAAAAAGAAATGTCAGCCTCCTACCTCTTTATTCTTTGGTCTCCTTTAATAGAATTAAAAGACTTGACCCTTGCAAGGGTCTTTACTCGTAAAACAAACAAGTGTATGCTATTAATGAGTGTGCATCTGTACACACACATAACAATCGTAGTGATTTGTCATTTATTAGATGCCTACATTGTAGTGGCAGACTACTAATTGTTGTTTAATCCTCATAATTACCTTTTCGATGTTGGTGTTATTAACCTGAGTCATGAGCCAATGTTTGCTAAGTAACTCAGCTAAAGTTATGCAGACAGCAAAATGCCACCACAAGAAATGAGTCAGAAATCTGACCTTGAGGACCGTGCAGAAGGTCATTTTACAGGATGAGTATGTGATCATTTGCCTGTGGTCCTGGGAAATGTAACACTGTGTAAGTACAATTAAAGAAAATGGTGAACTAAACAGAACTTTCTCAAAAGGAGAAATTCAAATGGCCAGAAAACACATGAAAAAATGCTCACCATCTCTAGCAATAAAGGAAATGCAAATTAAAACCACACTAAGATTCCACCTCACCCCTGTTAGAATAGCCATCATCAGCAACACCACCAACAACAGGTGTTGGTGAGGATGCGGGGAAAAAGGAACCCTTTTACACTGTTGGTGGGAATGTAGACTAGTACAACCACTCTGGAAAAAAAATTGGAGGCTACTTAAAAAGATGGACATCGATCTACCATTTGATCCAGCAATACCACTCTTGGGGATATACCCAAAAGACTGTTACTCCAGAGGCACCTGCACATCCATGTTTATTGCGGCACTATTCACAATAGCCAAGTTATGGAAACAGCCAAGATGCCCCAGCACTGACGAATGGATTAAGAAAATGTGGTATCTATACACAATGGAATTTTATGCAGCCATGAAGAAGAACGAAATGTTATCATTCGCTGGTAAATGGATGGAATTGGAGAACATCATTCTGAGTGAGGTTAGCCTGGCTCAAAAGACCAAAAATCGTATGTTCTCCCTCATATGTGGACATTAGATCAAGGACAAACACAACAATGGGATTGGACTTTGAGCACATGATAAAAGCGAGAGCACACAAGGGAGGGGTGAGGATAGGTAAGACACCTAAAAAACTAGCTAGCATTTGTTGCCCTTAATGCAGAGAAACTAAAGCAGATACCTTAAAGCAACTGAGGCCAATAGGAAAAGGGGACCAGGAACTAGAGAAAAGGTTAGATCAAAAAGAATTAACCTAGAAGGTAACACCCACGCACAGGAAATCAATGTGAGTCAATGCCCTGTATAGCTATCCTTATCTCAACCAGCAAAACCCCTGTTCCTTCCTATTATGGCTTATACTCTCTCTACAACAAAATTAGAGATAAGGGCAAAATAGTTTCTGCTGGGTATTGAGGGGGGGGAGCGGGAGGGGGCGGAGTGGGTGGTAAGGGAGGGGGTGGGGGCAGGGGGGAGAAATGAACCAAGCCTTGTATGCACATATGAATAATAAAAGAAAAATGAAAAAAAAAAAAAAAGAAAATGAAGAAAATTTATCCCTTTTGGTTGTACCAGAGGTAGGATATTTTCCTTGAAAGTTGCTTATATTTATTTGGCAATGTTAGGTACTCTGTGGAATGTCTGCCACAGAAGTGCAAAATTTTATAAATGAATGCAAGCATGAATGGTGAATGATTTCTAGATTTTAGAGGAAGCTGGCTTCATTCTACCAGTCTGATTTTAGCCTGTAAGAGTCATGCCATTTATTTATCTTGAGCCAAAAGTGTTATAACTCCATTTTTGATGGGCTGCCAGTTTCTGTAGTAAGCCAAATAGCCTGTGGCCTGCAGTGAAGATCATCACAGGGATAGAAACTACAGCTCAAAACAACCAGACACCCACAGCCAGTGGGTCCTCTTAAGCCCTACAAATCAGAGTCCCTTCTATTTGAAAGCGCCCAGGTTTAGCAGAGAAGCCACAAAGCTTGTCTGTCTTGGCCTCCCAGGTGTGAATCCTTTTAGGAGAAGCATCCCTACGTATTCGTAGCAAGTCCTCTTTCCAAGTTAACCCGCCTAAGGCAGGTCATTTCCTTCCCTGCTCACCTTAAGAATTTTAAGGTGCTGGATGCTGAGCACGCTGCAGCTGGTGGAGGGAAAATTGCGGTTTGGAGGCTGCGTAAATGGGTTTCTGAGAGAACAGTGAGGAAAGTAGATACTGGACATCGTGAGTTATGAACAGTCAGAAGGGGCGACGTTTATGAATTTGCTGCAGCTGTAAAGCGAGGTGAGCCACCACAGGGCTTAGGAGTCCCCTGTGCATGTGATTCCCTGACAAAGACATGGCCTGGGGAAACCAAAGGCTATTATTTATTACTTTAAATGTACAGAAAAAATAGAAATAAATAAATACAAGACCCCAAATGATGTCTACACCCTATGGACTTCATTTCTCACTTACTACAAGTAAGTGGTTTAGTGTGATTTTACACACACACACACACACACACAACACACATTTCAGGAAGCTGGTACAGCAGATCAGAAGTTTAAGCACAAGAAATTTTAGACATTGGAGTTGCCGGAAGTTTGGCCTATATTAGCATGAAGTTCTCTTTACTCTTTGGTATTTTCCCACTGCATTTATTTATTTAGTATTTATGTATTTACTTAGTATTTCGATAAGGAAAAAAGAGCAAAATTAGTATGCCAAAATCTCAAGCCAAACCACAGATTTCCGGGAGCCCTGGCTGGAGGGAGTCAGTGACAGACCTGCTCCCCTGCACCGGTTCTGGGCACAGCCATCGGGCCACCTCAGGATGATCATTTCATCCTTCTGACTCTCAATTGTTTTAACTACAAAATTAATGGCTTATATAAATGCTCGCAGCTTGGCATTACATGTGGGAATTTTTTTTATTTTTAAATTTAATTCCACGTAGTGAGTAATGTATTTAATAGTGATTGGGTAAAATAGTAACGGGTCACTCATGTCTGCACCAGGCTTGTGGTTGCTGGGAACACCAGCCTCCACCCGCCTCGCTCTCTGCTTCCCTCTGTAACTTGGGCTTGCTTAACATGAGATTTCTTTCTTCTTTTTCTTATAAATAAAATGCTTATTCTGAGTTCTCCCATGTCTTAACTTGTTTGTTTTTTGTTTTTTTTTTTTTTTAAATTCCTCATTCTTTCTTTTGCTGGCATGGTCTTTCTAGTAAATAGCAGCTCTTCCTATCTCTCAGGGCTGTGCCTTTTCCCCAGGTCCTTTTTTTTTTTTTTTTAACTGCCTCCTGCACCTTAGCTCCTTAGGCTTTTTTCTGACAGATGACTTATAAGATACCAGATTTGATGGTCATAGGTGCATTCAAGATCTTAGATGAGGTTTTTGCCTTTTATGTGTGTTTCTGTTGGAACAAAGCACCCGAGACTGGGTACTTTATAAAGAAAAGAGGTTCATTTGGCTCACAGTACTGAAGTCTGAAATTCCAGACAGCACAGTTCAGCTTGGGTGTGGGTGGAGCCCTGTAGCTACATCACCTCATGCAGATGGAGTCATTGGGGAGGGATTTGAAGGAAAGTGGTCAATGATGAAGACAGAGGCTGAGGACCTGCAGGGTCCCTCACTTCTGTCTCAACAACCCTCCAACTCCCCCAAGAACTAACCTGGATCCCAGGGGAAATACTTAATCCCTCTCAAGGTCATGGACCCCCCTGACTTCCCACTAGGCCCCATCCCTTAAAGGATCCACTACCTCTTAGCACCACCACACTGGGGACCATATGTCCTTGACTTTGGGCCATTGGGGGACAAGTCACATCAAACCACAGCATTTCTTAGCAGAACCTCCCATGCTTCAGGGAAAATGACTCAGAAAAAAGGGGAAATGAAAGGAAGAAGATTTGTGGGACCTGAGGGGGGTAGTGGTCCATGTGACACTGAGTCTTCCAAGTACTGATGCTAAAACTGACTTCGAGATACATTTGCGATGGTGAAAACTGTCTCATCCCTTCCCTTCTCTCCAGCAAACCAGGTGGCAGTGAGGCACTGCGCTCACCACTGGTAAAACATGTCAGACTGTGACTGTCCTCCTTTGGGGGTTGTCAGCCTTGAACCATCACTTCCAGAATCATCACTGTGTAGAATTTTATTCTGACCCATTTCCCATTATTCTAGCAATTTTTCCACTGTTTCTCATTAGTTCTTAATGTCCTTCAAAATTTGAAAACGTGTATGCTTATGACGTATCCTAGCAATATAATTAACCCGTAATTTTAGAGGTATTGAAAAATAGGAACAGTTAATAAAGTTCCATAAGAAAAAGCATGCATGTCTTTCCTTCCTTTTCAGCTGTGTCCTGTGGAATCCCAGAGGCCCCAGGAAATGGCTCCTTTACAGGCAATGAGTTCACTTTGGACAGTAAAGTGACTTATGAATGTAATGAAGGGTTCAAGCTAGAAGCCAATCAACAAGCAACCGCAGTGTGTCAGGAGGATGGGCTGTGGAACAACAGAGGGAATCCACCTGCCTGCAGACGTAAGTGTCCATATTTGGGGATTTAAGTAGGACCAGCATTCACTGGGGAGGGTCTGGGTTCGGGGGTGCACAGATCCCCACCACACTGTGTGCTAGGGTCTCTTTCATGAGCTATGACTCTTAGAGCTAGCCAGTTGAGTCCTGCTGGCTTCCTGGGAGCCCAGGACATGAACTAAAGCAGCAAATCCTCTTCTGTGCTGCTGTCATCCATGTGGGGAGAGCAGGAGAGACGACACGGAGCCATGGAGCATAGCCTCAGCGGCTCACACGAGACACCAAGATGTCATACCACACATACTTCCTCTGATCGCCATGTGATTTGGAGTTCTCTGAAACCAAAGGCGATGCCTAATTTGGGGGAATCTCACTGACTCTGCAAAACTTATCAGTGTTCAGTACATAGAACATCAATTTAATCTGTGAAGTGGGGTTGATTCTAGAAAGCTATTTCCACTGTACAATAGTATTCTTAAAAAAAATCAAAAGTTTGGCTTCAGCGTGAAACTCTGGTCTTCAAAAATAATAAAATTCTGAATCACAAAGCCAAGCAAAACAAAACAAAACGTCACACAAAGTTTACACACACACACACACACACACACACACACACACACACACACAGTTCCTACGCAAGATTTTCAGTGCAGGCATATTAAAATTACCCTTAAATTGTAACTAATCTATCCTTCCAATGTCCCAAGAGTGAAAACTGTTTGTCAGTCTATACAGTGATATTTCGACTCTACTGACATTAGCAATGAGATTGACATGGTCTTCAGTTATAAAATTAGCTTATTGAGCTCTTTTTGTGTACTTTGGTCAAGCTAAAATTTTTCTTTCATTTAGCATTTTTTAAATTTTATCATTTTCACACTTACTCATGTGTATACATTGATTAGGCCACTGTCCCTCTCCTCCCCACATCAATGTAAAATTCTTTAGAGTCATTGGCTGTGACTGTGTCAATGTTTATGGAAAATAGTGGACTTCCTCTGGTAGTTTTATTTTTCTTGCTTTAATTTTCATCATTTTATTGCATTTTCTGAAAGACAAATAGACAATATCAAAAAGCATGAATACATCTTGGCTACTTTCTGTTCCATAGGTACTGTTTTACTGTAGTTAAGTACCATTGGAGACAGGAGGATAATAAGGTACATCGCCGTGTTCAGTCTGATGCAAATGCATCCTCCGAGGCTAAGTGAGGACTTAGCCTGATAAGCAGCACCGCACGCCTGGGGTTATCACCCTGAGGATTTCCACGTGCTTGAAGCTGAGTCACTTGCAAGTGCCTGAGGTCATTAATAAAAACTCCTGCCACCTCTAGTGTCCGCGGGTCCTCTGGATAACTCAGAGGTTGTCTGCGGATCTCAAGACCTGGGGAAGCAGGTCTCAGATGCCCTCCCAAGTGAGGGAAAGTCCCTGTTGCTCAGAGCTGAGCTGAGTCCACTGTCTGCTGAGTCCTGCATCCTTTCCCTTACACCAGGTCTCTCTCTGGTGATGATTGACATCGCCAGAGAGCTTCAGAGAAGCATCAACGTGCAGGACTGACCTGGGGATTCTGAGTTACCTGGACTTGGGTGGAGACCAGGCATCCGTTTCTCTTAGTCTTTATTGTTTTTCCAATTCCTCTGGATGTGAGGCATAAGACGTCAGGTCTATACATATTTTAAAGGAAACTCCATTGCATTTTTCCACATTTTTATTAGTGATATGAGTAGAATCTGGGATTTCATTGTGACATTTCCATAATGCATATAATATACTTTGGTCATATTCACCCCTCTATCAGTCTTTCTTAACCCTCTCCTCAGCCTTTTCAATCCTTCTTGGAATTTTGTAATGGGTTTTGTCACGACCTTTTCAAACACGCATACAGTGCACTTCTGTCATGTTTGCTGCCCTCACCTTCTCTGTCCCTCTCCCATCCTGCTGGTCACCCCCCCATCCCATAGTCCTGCTTTATATTCATTCCATCTTCCTTTTCTTTAGATCTAGCTTCCACAGGTGAATGAAAACATGCACTGTGTTTGTCTTTCTGACTGGTTTATTTTGTGTAATGTGATGGTCCCTAGTTCCATCCATTTTCCTGGAAAGTGACACAATTTTGTTCTTCGTTATGGCTCAATAATACCCCATAGTGTATGCAAACCATGTTTTCTTTTTCTGTTCATTGGTTGATGTGCACCTGCTCTGATTGCATAGTTTGGTTATTGTGAATACCGTTGCTATAAATACAGATGTGATAGAGTCTGTCTTTATTGTACGTTGACTTACGTTCCTTCAACTATATGCCCAGGAGTGGTGGAGCAGGAGCCCATGGATCTATTTTTAGATTTTGAGGAATATTAATAGATTTCCATAGTAGTTCGCTAATTTACATTCTTATCAACAGTGTACAAAGGTTCCTTTCCCTTTCATCTTCACCACCTTTTGTTATTTGCTTTTTTGCCATTCTGCCTGTGATGAGCTGGAATCTGAACTCAGTGTGGCTCAGGGTGTCGAGATCACTTCGTGTATTTATTGGCCATTTGTACTTCTGTTGAGAACTGTTTGAGGATTCATTTGCTCATTTATTAATTGGGTTAATTGCTCATTTGGTGTTTAATTTTTGGAGTTTTTTTAAACATATTCTAAGTATTAACCTCTTGCCTTGTTATGCTGGTCAAGATTTTCTCCCATTCTGTAGGGTGTCCCTCCATTCCGGGAATTCAGAAACCCATTTTAGATTTGAATACTGACTGAAAAAGACCTGATAAATGACAGTCACTAAGTACAATGTTTATTCACACATCTTTTTTGTTTGCTTGCTTGTTTAATAGAATTTATTTCTAGTGTCATTTAAAGTCTGTGCAAAAGTCACAGAGCTCTCCCATGTCCTCCCCCCAGCACGCACATCATCCCTCACCCCGACCCTGCCATTATCCTGCACTGGTGATCACGTGTGTGCCTACACCTGTGTCCACAGTTTTCACTGGCGCTCACTCTTGGGGCTGTGCAGTCTCTTATTTAGACAAGTGTGTCAGTGGCACGTGTCACCATTTGAGCATCCCACAGGGTAGCCTTACTGCTCTGCATTTCCTCTGGACTCCAGCTGAGCATTCCTGTCTCCCAGAGGTCCCAGCACACACTGAGCTCTTCACTCATCCCACAGACTTGCGTTTTCCAGACACAATCAGATTGGAATCACACAGCATGTACCTTTCACCTGGACTTTTCTCACCTAACGCTGCCCATTTGTGTTTCCGCCATGCCTTTTCACAGCTCAACTGTTCATACCTTCTTATTGGATAATCTTCTGTGGCCTGTACGTATCAGGGTTCACCCTCTCCTGGTCCAGGGTCTTAGTTGCTTCCATGTCTTGGCAGTTGTTACTAATTCTGCTATCAACATCCATGTGTGCACATTAGTTTCTAATTAATTTGGGTAAATAGCAATGAGTGTGTAGCTGAATCAGGCACTAGGAGTACTTTACATCTATAAGACTACCAATCTTTCTTCCAGTGCGGCTGGGCCACTTCACGTTCCCAGCAGCAAAGAGTGAAAGTTTGTGTTCCTTCAGGTCCTTGTCAGCATTTGGTGTTGGCACTATCTAGATTTAGGCCATTCTAGTGGATGTGCAGTGAGTTCTCATTGTTTTAATTTGCGTTTCCCCAGTGAGCTATGGTGTGGTGCCTCTTTTCATATGTGTATCTGCCATCTGTACATCTTCTTTGGTGAGGTGTCCATTCAGATCCTCAGCCTATTTTTAATTAGACTGGTCATTTACTTTTCAATGACTTTTATGAGTTCTTTGTATGTTTTGGATCACAGTCCTTTGTCAGAAATGCCTTTGCAGATTATTATTTCCTACCAGTCTGTACTTTGTGTCCTCATTCTCTTAACGGTGTCTTTCACAGAGCAGAATTTTTACTTTTCATGAAACCCAGCTTGCCAATTCTTTCTTCCATGGATGGCACCTGTGCTGTGATACCTGTAAAGCCATCATCAAACTTAAGACCACCTAGTTTTTCTCTAAGCTACCTTCTGAGAATTTATATTTTCTGTACTTGACATGTGCTTCTGTGACCAGTTTTGAGTTGATTTTTTATGCCAGGTGTGAAGTCTGTGTCTGGATTCATTTCTGCATGGGACTATCCAGGTTTTTCAGATCATTTGTGGGAGCAACTGTCTTCTCTCTACTGGTTATATTTGCTCCTCTGTCAAAGATCAGCTGACTGTTTTTGTGTGGGTCTGTTCTGGGCTCTCTCTCCTGTTTTATTGATCTATTTGTACATTCTTTTCCTGAATGACATATATATTTCTTTGGCTAAAATAGACTAGAATAAATCTAACGCTTTTTTTCAAAAATTATTTGATACTAATTCACTTTGGACATTTAATTAAAAGAACATTTTCTAAAGTTCTATAAAGTCAGTCTTGCTCTAACTTGTCAATGTTTGTTGTGAAAGTGCCCTGAGTGACCTGGAACTCAGAATGGATACGTGCCTTACCTTTAAAGCCGGACGAAATCACTTCACCCGAAGACAGTGCTGGCTCTGTGGCATGCAGATATGCATGTTAGTGACATTTTATTCTAACCAAGGAAGCATTGTTCTTACATTAGTTAAATGATGTTTCAAATATGCCTGCTGCTTCACAGGTCAAAAAATGGAAGAGCCTGCAGTGGGACAGAAGGCTTTCAGGCATGAACTCAGACAAATTTTATGTCTGTATGCATTGTGTTCAGGTGTAAAGCCCACATGTAATTGGGTTAAGCAACTACACACACACGGATTTTGGTCTCCAGAATGTCAGTTCAAGTCATTTATAACTTGGGTTGGCATCACAAAGCAATGTGAGCACTAACTCTAAGAATTCTGAGGACAAGAAACACTAAGTAACTTTTAAGTCCTTGGATGAGGTAGCAGAAGAGAAAAGCAGAGAGCTTGAAAAGCACGGAGGCAGACAAGGTGCACAAGCTCAGGTCCCAGCAGGAACCGTGACTGTTGGAGAGGGGTAACATGAGTGACCACCCTGGCATCAGGCACTAGAGAGGAGGTGGCTGCACCTGGTGAACTGGCAGTAGTGGTGACAGTGACAGTCAGAGCCACAGTTAGAAGAGTAACTGTGGACATTGGGCTGTGACAAACCTGTGTCTGATCTATGGTGTTCCACTATTACAGCAGCCCTGTGAAGACAGATTATTTCCTAATCTCACTGGTGTAATAAAAAGTATATACCTGTGTTGTCCTGTAAACTCCATGTGGTCACTTCCCTAGTGCTGCTGCAGGTCAGGCTGTGTGGACGCATTTGTCCAGACACAGGTGCTTTGGGCAGTGTGTGATCTACAGAGACTGTGCAATCCACTAACCACAGTGCTATGTGAGTTAAAGGGTCTCTCCACCACACTAGCCAGGGACACAGACAGTTCATATTAAGCTGATTTCCTGATAAGTAGGGACATGTATGAGAAGAGATGACGCAAGAGGCTTCATAGCTCTGAGAAATGTTCAGAGATGGGAGAAAACAGAAGACACAGACAGAAAGAAGCTGAGCAGAAGCCACTGGGGTCAGAGAAAGCTCCCAGTTGCCCACAGTGGATGGAAGAGAGTTCTGAGTTGAAAGGTGCCCTTCTCCTTCCATCCCTCTCGGCTCCCAAGCACCTCTGTGTGCCTGCTTCATCCCACACCACGCCAGTCAACCTGCCTCCTGATGGCCCTGCCTGGTCTCCCTCCAGTCTGCCTCCAAAGCACAGCCAGAATGGTCAGTTGAAGACACTGGTCAGCTCAGGACATTCCTGCAGGAAACTTACCAGAGCTCTCCTGGTAACTGGGCTAAAGCTTCCAAACCTTTCTTTATGCTGAGTTCACCTCTCCAAAAGATTGGCAGACACAACGTCAGGTGTCAGGAAGAGGTGGACTTGGATCCTACCTGCTTATGTAGGTCCACGCTCCATACTGATAGTTGCTGGCTCCAAACAAATCCTACTGTTTACTGCCTTCCAATCTTGGTCTCAATAACTTATGCAAATTAACTTGTTTAATTCTTATGACATATGCACTCTTATTGTCATGATTGTATAAAGGAAGCTCTCATCTGTGTAAATAAGTGAAGGTCACAGACATAGTAAGCAGCAAACTCAGAATTCAGCTCAGGGAAACCTTAGGAGAAAGGTCCTCTTAGGGTAGGTATGGTGGAGAACACCTGTAATCTCAGCACTAGGGAGACTGAGGCAGGAGGAGTGCCAGTTTGTAGTCAGCCTGGACTACATAGCGAGTTCTAGGCCAGTCTGGGATATATAGAGAGACCCTGTCTCAAAAACCAAAAACTAAACAAACAAAAAAGACCCTGTTTCTGATTTCCAAACTATACTGCCCCTAGGAATTTATTAGCTCTTGTGATTTTTATGTCTCATATAGGCTATGAAATTGAGACCCTAGCCAGAGCTTTCTGATAAGTACTGAGCGGGTGGTGGAGCCCCTGTTTACAGGGGACAGGGGCTGGGCCACATGGCCATCAGGACAGAGCAGTAGCTTCCTGTAAGAATTGGGAATGAGAGGCCATTTGCA